GGTGATGTTGGTAATGAAATGTGTTTGTTTTTTTTCGTGATGTTGGTGGTGATGATGTTGATCACAATGACGAAGTGTAGTTGGTAGGCGGGGGGGTGGCTAGTAGTAGTAGTAGTAGTAGTAGTAGTAGTAGTAATAATAGTAGTAGTAGTTTTTGTCACCCACTTGGCACGTCGACGACAGCACCGCAGGGTCTTGACTACTGACGAGGTGCAGGACGACAGAAGGCTTCCCCAATACGACAACAACACCATAACACCAAGCTACAAGTAGTCGTAGTAGTAGTAGTAGTAGTAGTAGTAGTACTAGCAGTAGTACTAGTAGTAGTAGTAGTCGTCGTCGTCGTCGTAAGAGTAGTACTAGTAATGCTGGGTTCCAGAATGGCAATAGTAGTAGTCGTCGACGTCGTTTTTCCTTCGAGATCGACCACTTCGCCCAAGTATGCCTGACCCACAGCCTTCGGCGCGCGGAAGAGAAATCGCAAGGTGAAGGGTGCAAAAAACTTGCTTCACACGAACTGATTCTCGAGATTGTCGACTCTGTTTGATGAGGTCCGGAGAATTTATTGGTTTTCGATCAGTTGACCTTCTTGGTGGAATCTGTTGCGCCTTTGATATCTGAACCACCGATCTCGCAGATCTTCCTTCTGCCTTCCTTGAACCAGAGGCCGCCCCGAACGAGGCCGGCCGCCCGGCCGTGATGCTGCGGCTGATCTTGCTGGTGACCTTGGCTTCCGCGCCGGCGTGCGTGGTGCACTGTCTGACTGTTTGCCCTTCTCCCCTTCTGTAGTGCTGTCATCAATGGACAACGGTCCACCTCCTTCTAGAGTTGAGTCACCCACGGCAGGAAGGGCCACTGCTCCACCACCACCAAATGTCATAGTTGTGTCTGCACTTATCTTGACCGAATAGTCGCAGAGAATGGATCCACTAGGCCGAGCCTACGGCTGACAGGCCGCATGCCGGCTTGGTATCGACTATGCTCCCACACCGTGGGCCTGCTGATATAAAAGGTGATGCTGTGTGCACGTAATGGTCGGGTTCCGATCGCCACTGTTCCAACATCCCTGAGCAACGCACCGCCCCCACCCACTCTCGACTTTTGATTCCTGAACTCTGGAGTCTGTAAGTCTTTGCAGACGGAAATGGTTTGACGTATTCCAGTTAAGGCATCAAGAGTTCGAATGGCTTCGTCCTATGTTAGTACGACTGAACATTCTTGAGCCATAAATTTGCGTTGCAGCAAAGCTACACCCGTTCTAGCACGTTGTTTGAATGACGGTACCACGGCTCCCTTGAGGCCTGCATGGCAGTGCCAACAAGGTGGAATACGTAGCTCATATATACGTGAGTTGGCCAAGCGGTCATCCGAATGGACAACGCTTCGACGTCCGTTCAAACGTAGGTCGTAGTCTTAGTAGGAATTAGTCGCAGCAGCAGCAGCAGCAGGAGCAGGAGCAGGAGTAGTAGTAGTAGTAGTAGTAGTAGCAGTAGCAGCACTCGTCGTAGTCGTGGCTGCGAAAGGTTCCATAGGGAGTATGCGCTTGACGCATGTATTCTTGGTGGCGAGATGTTGTTGAAAGCAAGCTTGCTTGTCGGAAGGGAGGGTCCGTTGAGGGGACGCAGGACTTCCTGTATGAGTTGGTTTTTCAAGAATTCACATGGGTTCAGTTGTTGACGGTGCCATGCTTCTGAAAGCAAGCGTGCAGGGCTTAAAAAAGAAGCACCGTGCGTTGGAGAGGAGGGGGGGCACTCCCAAATACAATGCTTGCTTGACGGCTTCTGAAAGGGATGGTACGATGTTCAACAAAGCAAGCTGGCAAGTGAAAAGGCGTGGGGGTGCGGACCAGAAAAAAAAAAGAAACACACAAAGACATTACAAAAACACTCCCCGTCAAAACTGGTCGGTGGCTGATTGCCAGACTGCACAACCAGCATGAAGACTCCGCTTTTGCTTGCAAGCTCCACCGCTCCAGAAGGTCGCTGCATGCAAGCTGACCAAGGTCACCCAACCCGTGCATCCGAGTTCGAAGACCGTGCCTCCTTTGCTCGGCCTTCGAAACCAGCCTGTTTACAGGTTCGATAGCTTCGCGTTCCAGAATCCAGTCGTGGGCGGTGCGTGGGAGCAAACTTCGATAAACACTTGCAAGCAAAACGAATTCAGAAAGCCCCAGGAATCCAGCTGCCTGCGATCTCTTTCCGACAAGGGAGCACCTCAGCAAAAGCATGGCCTGCACATGCGCGGAAGGCGCTGATGCCACTGACCGGAAAGCTGCGTTCAATGCATACCCGCTCGTGCGAAGTCTCACACGGCGCATTGTGCTTAACTGTTCAAGACAGTGTTGCCACTTCTTTGCCGCGCCAAAAACAGTCGTGGATGCGACAAAGCTCATGGCATCCGTCGCCCCTACCTCTCTCATTTTCCCAAACAGAGACAAGATCCTTTCCCATTGCAATGACTGCTCACAAGCACTGATCACTGTATCAAAACACACCGCGTCTGGAACAATCTTCAGGCCAAAACAATACGAGAGGAGTGCAAAAGCCTGTCGCCACTGTCGACCTTTTTCACAAGCACTGATAGCGGAGCTCAGCAACAGAAGGTCCGGATTTATGGGATGGACAGAAGACCTGGCCAGGACGGCTTCCAGCAGTCCCAGAGCACTTTTCCATCGTGCGGCCCTGTCACAAGCCGTTAGCGCAGAGCTGAAGCTTACGACATCTGGGGTTGCCGCCAAGCTTTCCATGCAGGCCAGAATTTCACATGCAAAGCTCCACCTATGCCCTTCTGCGGTTGCCCCTATTGCAGAGTTGAACAAGATCACGTCAGGAACGCTCCGCGAGCTTGCCAAAGCTGAAAGGCAGGTGTTGAGCAACAGCAACGACTTCTGCCACTCAGTGGCTTTCCCACATGCAGCTATTACACCACTGCATGCTTTCATGCTCATTGTAGGAGGGAGCTTTGTCTCAAAGCTGTTCATCAAGTACAAGCCCCACTCCCAGCGCACTGCTAGTAGAGTTTGCGTACATGTCTCCTGTCTCCTGCCGCAGCAAAGCCGCGGTGAAATGGAGCAGCTGACCCTGCCACTCCATCAAGACTCGCAGTTTTCAGGGACCCCGGACTTTCACGCGGTCGTGCTGGAGCCGCAGGCTGCAGCTACAGAGTGAAGCAAACGTCCTCCGCTACAGTCTGAAAAGTACAGCCCTTGATGAGGATACCATCAGTCAGTGTAACCCATCTGAGGAGCTAAGCCAAGCTAGTGCGAACACTTTCTACCATGCGGACTCATATTGTACCGGTGACCCGATGCAAAGGTCAAAATGCCCGCTCACTGCCGAACACGCCACTCTGTCAAGCGCAACATGCACAAGAAACCCTTGCGGCGAACGCCGTCACCTTGAAAAGAAACCACACCCAAGAATTCGCCGCAAACCTGTGCCCCCGATCGTCATGTGCTGAGTTTCATCGTGGCCCTTTTAGATTCTCGAGCACAGTCGCTCTGCACGCGATTCCTACCGGCAGGGTTATCAGCTGCCTCTGCCTCCGGCAACGGCGCCTCCACGGCTCCACTTCGATCCGTCCGGAAAAACAATTCCACTGCCATCCCACTTCACCACAACCTGTTTTGGACCAGGAATTCCTGACTTCGAGAGGTCTATGGTCAGCTCGTTGGAATCCTTGCCAGCAGCAGACAGCTTCGCTTCCCAGAATTTGAGTTCATCACCACGCGAGCACCCTTTCCGTGTGTTCGCAACCCGCTTCTCGCGGGCCATCTCAGCTGCAGAGAAGCCTGGCCAGCTTTTAGAAACAGGTTCAGCGATCTTTGGAATTCTGATTTGCCGGCATCGGAGTGTCATTCGAAACTAGTGGGCCTCTCACGGCAGTTGAAAGAATCCCTCAAACAAAAACGACTTCTCATGACAGGCTGCAATTCTTTTTCAAGCTAGGTAGGTCTACTCCAAGCAAGCTCATATCCTCGTCGGACATCTGTCTTATCGTCTTATCTCTCCGCTCGCCCGGGCAAGTCGAGCTCGAGCCACAAGTGACATTCTTGGGGACCAACTGTAGCGACGGGAAGACTGTGGCCAACCCAATCAATCAGAACCCAAAGTTCCCATGAGGTTGCTTTCGCTTCTCCACCCACTTAGGGCCGACCCGCTGACACTCTCCAGGTGTGGATGAATCGCGGCCAGAGGGAAGATGCGAGATGTGTCGGGGCAGTGGAACAGAGACCGGCCCCATCTTCAAAATCCAGTTTGGGCGCAGAAAGAGAAGTCCGCGACCCACAAGCCAACCGGTGCAAGAATGCGGTCGGTCACACCAAGAATGACAGCGGCACGGCGCGCGCATTGAGAGCGAGCACCTGCGGATTGTGGAAAGTAAGCCACACCACGGATCCCGGAGCATGTCAATCAACCGGCAGGGAGCAGGGCCGCTCTTTGAGAAGTCACACGGCCAGCTGCAAGGCAGCGGACACAAAGCCGTGAATAGGGACGGAGCTCGAGGTAAAACAAAGCAAAAAGCAACACAACCAAGCATCAGCATCATGATTCAGACAGAATCATACAGGGCAGCGACGATTTCGCTTTTGGGCTGGAGACAAGGTGGCGCGGTGCAGGAACCTCCGTGGTGAGATTCGGCGATCAGGCTCTCATGTGGGAGTTGCTGCACGGGCTGTTGCACATTGGCGCCTGTTGCGAGGATCCAGGAGGCCGCGCTTTGAATTGGTCCATCGGACAAACCCCGGACCAAGCAACATGGAATGGTGGAGCTACGGGTTCCCCCCGTCTCGCTAGCAGCCTAGGGTCATGCTGGGGAAGACAGTCTGCTTTTGGGTTTTAAATCTTTCGCATCAGCGGAGAAGGAATGAGCACCACTAGCCGGGACCTGGATTCGAAAGCAACAGGAACCAGCACCCAACCAGCCGCTAGTCATGGGGGCCAAACATGATGTATGCAGCAGAACTGTATATGTTGGATGGCACCGGCCTGGATTCATGCCAGTGGACTCAGTGCCTGTCAGCCGACCCTTTGTACCATCGAAATTCATCACGATCTCGCGCTTGCACCCAGGAGCATCGGGATCATCCCAGCGTCCTGCCCATTTGGATGGAGCCGACGCTGCCGCCACAGCTGACTCTGCTCCACTGAAGGAAATGGCTGCCACCAGAAGTTGCAAAGCGCTCCGCCGATCAGGACGATCCTGATGATTGGCCACATCCGTCCTGAGACCTTGGCTGTCAAAGAAGCTTTGTCCAGGTGTTTCACTGTATTTTGACATGACAGACAATGGCTTGCTCAGGCCACCACTACTTGGGTGACAGAGAAATGATCTGGCCATCTGGCAGCAAACGATCGCCACGACCAGGACGATGGCACCTCGAAGCCGTGCTTGCTTGGGCCCCATCGTGGCACCTGCCAGCTGCACAGCACATGCCTTCCACGTGCTGTGCAAGCCTATGCCCCTACAAGCAGCTGAGGTCGGAAAGACACGCTAACAAAGCCAATCTGTGGCAAGTCATGTCAGACATGCGCGACTCTGACATACTGTAACCGGGGCGAGGGAGTCTTAGCGACTTACTAGAACGACCGACATTGTCACTTGGACGGGCAACGAGCAAACAAACAAGCGCAGTACAACTTCGTGGCTCCCACATGGCCTGCTGGCACGTCGACTCGGGAATGCTCTCCAAGCTTGGAGCCGAGGCTCTGCGGACTCAGCTTGACATCAAACGGTAAAGAAACCATTCGGTTGACCACACACCACCAGGCTTTGTTCTTTCACATGGGTGTGCGAACACAGTGATGCTCATGATGACAGTAATACTTTTTGTTTGCAGAAAAGCAAGAGCATATGTAGTGGATTGTCATCGTCGTGACGCGGAAGGCTCGAGGCAGTCCTCGTCAATTGATGCTCGTTTCCCCGCATCTCATACACAGGGCCTTCGCCATCCTGAAATCGGAGGGCTCGCATCGCCAAAAGAGCTACAGGCGAGGTCTGTGGGTCAGAACATCACAGGCAAGTGCAGCCCGCTTCCACGACGACCTGTTCAAGTCTCGTGCTGCAGATGCTTCGAGCAGCTTTCATGTTGTTGCTGCGGTGTTACAGACTATGTTTCTGATACATCCAAGCACTGCAGCCGTTCGACACCAGCATCTGCATCCATGCCAGCAATGCGGGCATGATAGTGTTTGCGATGGATCCTACATATCCACGCAAGAGCTCGCGGGATTTGATGGGGTCCAGCACAATGGTCCTTTTTAGATCTGGCCAATCCTCCTTGACTGCGGGCTGCCTTGAGGGTCGGCGGGCATGTTCACCTGTGGCGCGTTTGACCAAGTCTAAACCATGGACAGACCTGCGGACGCTCTGTTTGAAGCAACTGGCGTTGCAAGCTTTTTGGTTTCCAGAGAAATACTGTGACATACTGTCCGTCAGTATGTTGCAGCCTGCAGCAAGCTGCGGCCTCGCTGTCCAGTCGTCCTTTGTAGATCAGGCGCTGCGGCAATGCGTCGGGACTTCAGGCTTTGTATCACACAGGGTCGATGCCGGCGAATTGAAGCGTTAAGCTGTTTGGAATTTGTCCTGGGCATTTTGGGGGGAAGAAATCCTCCATTTTGGAGATTTGCTGTGAGTGCCCGAGCGGGGGGTGGGGGTCACCACCTCCTCCCGCCCTCAAAAAAGAAATCCCCCACCTCCCCGCGCCCCCCCCCCCACAACGGCCGAGGTATGTGGACCATGGCTTTATTTCAGGTTGTATGAGTGTACGTATGTATATAAAAGTAAATAATACATGCATCCGCCGACCCCGCTTGCTGAGTCGAGCGAGAGGGAAGCACATGCTTTTCTTCTTGACGTTCCCGTTTACAGTATCTCTCCACCCTGCTTTGCCACCGGCTTCCCTACTCTTCATCTACGCCTTCCACCCTCCACCTACCCTCCCCCTTCTCCGCTCCCGTCCCGGCGCTCTCCCCCTCTAACCCCATCGCTTACGCCGATACCCCCCACCCCTTCCCTTACACGTTCCCGCATCGCTCTCCACTCTGCCCTTCCACCAACACCCGCAGCCCCCCCCCCTCTCTTCCCCACCCTTGCGCCCTTCCCACCCTGCGTGTACCCTACTTTACTACCAGAATCCCTTCTGCACAACCAGAAATCCCACTTCACAACCCACAAGCCTTTCCAGAATCCGACTTTGCAACCGGTTGCGAATGCTTCTTAACAAGCGTATTAACTGATAACGTCGAAGCCTGGCACCTGCAGCATCATCCTTTACAGCAGCCATGCAGGTTTCGAAAGCCTTGCTGGGCTCCACTTGACCAGTGTGGACACACTTTTTTCTTGATTCGCAGTAAACCACTGCGGGGTCGGCGGCAGCGGCGTAGCCCTTAATCTGGCAGCGCTCGGTCCCCGAGCGCTTGCGCCTGCTGGTCCGAGCCTCAGGCGACCTGTAGCCTTGCTAGCTTTGCTTTTGCAAAAGGCGCGACCACCCGTGCCGCTGACTCCACCTAATTTCGAGTTTTCTTGCGTAATTTTGGAGTCGCCATGTGTAGCCACCAAAGGGCGCGCATCATGAGCATCAGCGGCTCCAGTCCGGGACCCGGTGCGCGCATCATCAGCATCAGTGCGGCCCTGGGCAGACGGGGGACAGGGGAAGAAGGTCCCCCCCGTCCTTGTCAAATGTTGTTCTAGATCGTTCGCGGTTTGAAGCTCAAGTTTATATCGGTTTGTCCAGGCTGCTACCTGCGCTGCCCGCCGGTGGGCCCAGCCCCTAGAATAATCAAAGTGTGTGTCGGCATGGGGGCCTGCCTTTCTCGAGCATACAAACATCTTCTTGCGTTTTTGTATTTGTTCAGACTTTCGTGCCGATGCGAAGCATGTACATGTGGAACGCTGTGTGACATGCCAGAGTAGTTGGCAATGCTTCATGTCATGACATACAACAGCACTGTTATATGCTGTTATGTTATACGGCCGCAAAGCTAAATTGATATTTCAAACCACCCTTCATCACCCTTCCGTACTGTAAATGAAATACAAGCGGCCCACTCATTTCAGGTATTGGATGTACCGCCCATCTTCTCGAGTCAGGGTGTCCCATCACCTCTTCTTGAAGTTTTCGGTACAGGGCGCAGCTTGTTCCATTGGAATTTCGTCTTCTGACGTCGTGCCACATGTTTACGGTAGCAACATTGCCTCCAACATGTGCTTTCGGAATTGGGGCTGTATCGTATCTGAAGCAAAACTGTGACATGGATGGTACTTCACCGGTTGAACCACTTGAGGTTTAGAGGTTGAAGCCGCTCATGTTTGCCACCCAACCTACCCAATTCGGAATATTCGGAACCCAATCGCTTTTTGCTCGATGATTGTGCTTGTGCTCACCATGTACGTCAGGGGTTTAGGGTCCAATATATTCTATTAGGGACAAAGGTGTTGGATTCGAGGCCCGATATATGTCCTATTAGATTTGGAAAGAGGGCTCTTTCCCAAACAAACACAACTTCCCTCCTCGTATCAGGGCTAAGAGTTCTTTGGAACACGTTTTCCGAATCACCTGGTTCCCTTATCGTCTCGATTTTGTTGAAGTCTATAACTTTAGAAACCAGCCGTCCCCAGCCGTGGAGATAAAAGTACTCCTCTTCTTGGCGTTGTCAGGGTTTGCACATCTTGGGGGTGCCCGTCATCTGGGCATTCTAGATTCGAATTGTCCATGTAAACGAAGCACGAAAATACGAATGTTTCGATCGAAACGCGTCAACCCTGGAAGGGGGGTCCGCCCCCAAGCCTTTCAACCCCATGACCCGAATGAACCTAAGAATTACTGTATGTCTAGATTTGGTGGCTTACATGTCAATATATCGGTGCACGGTTATGATCAAAGTTTATGTTTTCGGCACATATTATTAGTTCGAAATGGGACGAATATGCAAAGTGTTATGTGGGACTTGTTGTTTTTTTTTGCCTCCTACATGGCTGAGCGAGTCGCGAAGTAGGGTACAAGCTTATGACGGGTAAATGTTTGACAAGCAAAGTTACCCAACAGAGCCTGGGACACCCATCATCTCTTCTTCAAGATTGCATCGTATTCAAACTGTGCGAACAGGTCTGTCACCCAGCATGCAATTAGTGTTAGGGTTTGCGCATGCCCGTCATTCATTCTGGGAATTATACACTCTGAGTTCCCATCTTGAAAATACAAAACAACAAATGTCTCAATCGAAACACATCAGCCCTGGAAGGGGCGACAGGGTCCATTCCAAACCTTTCACACCCATGGCGTTTCTGTATGTCTCAAGTTGGTTACTTACTTGTCAGTATCTCTGTGTGGGGATATTATTGCAGTCTATGTTTTTCAGCACATTTGGTGAATTCGAAAATAAGTAAGATGTGTACTTCCAAGCGCCAGCATCCAGCATTTGCACACACATACAAAAATTAATGCAGAGGAGTGCATCCCATCATTCGGGCCTGACATTCATTTGAAGGCACCGCATAAGCTGCACATGATGCTACCTGTGTACTTATACACGTATGGATGTATGTATGTATGTATGTATGTATGCATATATAGATGTATGTGTGTATGTGTAAATATATATATATATAAACATACACACAGGTATGTATGTATGTGTATATATATATATATATTCATACATGTGCAGATGTATCTATGTATACTGTATGTGTGTACATGCGTATATGCATATGTATCCACATGCAATATCATGCCCTTGAGTTCGAAGGTGCATATATACACAAGCACTGACATGCGCTACATACATATAGACAACTGTTTTGACGCATGCACATATACATATATATATATATATACATATAAATATGCTAGGTATGCATACATTATGGGCTGATAGAATGCAATATGATTTATGGAGTGACAACCTTGGTAAGTGAAAACTTGAGGCTATCGCCTTTTTGTCTTCAGTTGGGTTTGAACGTGGGCTTGTTTCCAGAAAATCCAAACTCAAAGGACTCTGACTCCTCGGTCTGGAGGGGGAGGGGGCGAGGCAAAAAAGAAAAGACTGTTAAAGTCTCGCCCTTCTCATCGAGGCCAGGGTGGGTGCGCAGTTTACTCTACGATTCCACATCCACTCTTTTTTTTGCTCTACGCCGATCGGGACGTAGTTCCCTCGACTTGTGATGTTTTCTAAGGAAACACATGGAAATCAATGTTTTAGAAATGCGACAAAGTCCAAGGCAACTTCTTCTGTAAATACAATCTAAGCGCATTATAAGTGTCTGAATATGTATGTATGTGCGTGTCTGTATAAATATATATATATATATATATATATATAGGGTTCCCAGAGATCTGTTTCTACCTTGGCAGCTTGGAATACTTCTCGGTGCGTTCGAGGTCCTGGATTCTTTGCCTGGGACTGCCTCAGCGAACTCTCGCAGGTTAAGCTACCCGCGCACTTGCGGCGCAGAGCGAGTGATGCCTTCTGCTTAGCATCTGGATGGAGTTAACATGCTGCCGATCGTGTTCCAGATCCTGGCTGGTTGGCGTCGTTCATGAGATGTGTCGTGAGAGGGGCTGTGGCTCACTCGAGACTTGGGTTTACAGGCTGCGAAGATTTCACCACGGGCTCTTGCACGTTAGCCTCCTTCTTTTCTTGGTTCCCTGATGAGACTCGGGAGGATGGCGAAATCCTTGTTCTGGCTACACTTTTCTGTGCTCGGGTTTCTTAGATTTAGAACTTTACTCGAATCGTTTGCTCCAACAAGGTGTTGACGCGGGCCTCTGCCGTACCAACTGGCACTCTTTTCGATCAGTTTACAGTTGCCCTGAGCTTAGGTCTATGTGTTGCTGCGCCGCACGTTCGTTCACTGCCGGTGCAGTCTTGATTCGGGAAGGTCCTTTCGCCCTGGCAACATCATTCATGCCCTTACGAGGGCCAGGACGCACGCCGACGCCGCCTACGCTGTGCAGTCGAGGATGCCGGGATTCCGATGTGCAGGTTCGGTGCGATACAGATTTTCGGCCCAGAGCTGGGAAGGCTCCGGTCTTAAAAACGGTTGAACAAAAACGGCCCTGCACTCTTCTGGCTTTCACGTGTGCTCTTGTGTAGCACTCTGGCCTTTCGCGGCATGTAGGCTTCTCTGTGGCTTTGCCTTCATGGAAGGCTCAAGGTGTCAGTTTCAACCAAACTCTCAAATGAAGCTGTGTTCGATTTGTGTAGTTGAACTCTGACTATGCAGGACTTGGGATGCGAACGTGAGTGAAGAAAAGGAGCCGCGCAGTGACGGCAGTGTTTTCGCAGTCTGCCACAGCACGTCAGACTGAAACGACACTCATCTCGGCGCAAGTGGGAGCCTCACGTCTCAGGGTTGACAAAGGGTCCCTTCAAGCATCACAACTTGCAGCGCATCTCAGCCGAGCACTAGGCAAGGTTCGATTTCTGCCTCCACCAACACTGGAGGCAAACATGGCAAGCTTAATTGCAAACTGGGCTTAAGAAGCAACAAGGCTCCGGCCAATGCCGAAACATCGAGAATGAAGCTAGAAATGCACCTCAGAAGTGCCATGCTCTTGACACAAACGCACACTGCACCAGTCCATGCCTTCTTAAGCGAAAGAAAGACTAGTCGAACATGCAATCCGCTTTTGTGCTCACTTCCCATGTAGTAAGGTGTGTCTATGATTGCATAGGCTTGGCAGGAAGCCTCAGGCTGTGTGCCATGCCACGTGTGAGCATGCACAATCCTCACGTGACAACCCAGCCCTGTACAACATGCCACTGAAATGCTGGGCTCGAGGGTATTACTGAGACGCAGATGGTAGTCCGGTTGGAAAACACAAGGTGCCGCTGGTTCCGAGCAGTCCGCAGTTAGCATCTAGAAAGAACACATTGCAAGCGTCTCCGGGTCTGGGAAAATTTGCAAGCAAAATAACCATGGTAGAGAAACACAAGGCGAAATACCGGGCCCATTCACCTCATGCCACTTGGTGGCACAGTGATGCCCAAAATGCTGATGGCTTGCGATCACTATTCTACCAATCCATGCGAAATGTTCGCTTGCGTGCCTTGGTCCAAAATCAAGAGTTTTCTTGAGTTTGGTTCAAGGAATATTCGAGAAGCATCCTGCAGGATGCAACCTGCGGATGCTGTGAAACTTGAACGAAGTCTTAGATGATCAAAAAAAGCGAATATAGATCAAGTTGCATCATTGTGTTCGACGACTTTTTGCACCGTTTTTCAGTGCATGCTACTCTACATGCCTGCACTAGGGCATGGCCCTGAATATGGTACATCCGTGTACATCACGCCGGTGACGTGCTCCGACCAGGCAGGAAACTGACATCAGCTCAGGAGCTGTTGGAGCTGTGTCTGCTGCAAGCCTAACTCTCATCTGGGAGTTTGTACAGGCGTCTGCTTGATGTAAGTGAAAACTGTCTCCCTGTCAAAGGACACGGTCTTCTCGTGATTCTTTGCGGCCTCGGTTGACTCAACGCGGGCACCACCAGAATGATGCGTAAATGCTTTCCGAAGTTCCGAAGGAACAAAAGCCACTCTGAGTTCTGCACGGACTTCTTCGTACCAGAACGATCATTCTCGTCACCACTACCGCCATCCGTCAAGCTTTGTACAGGAGCTCGAGCAGCCTCGATATTGAATGGAACGTAGCTGTCTTCAGCTTCAAATCCTGAAGCGTCTGCTTCGAGGCAAGAGACTACGTCTTGGCCTTCTGAATGATATTTACGAGCAGCTGCAGCAGAAACCTGGGAAGTCTCTTCACGACAAAGCGGGTCAGAGTCCGAAAATGCAACAGAAAACGCTTCGAGCCCACATGTCAGTCCAGATTAGCACGCAAGGGGTGGAAGAGACTATCCGCAAAATCCCAGGCACGTCCCCGCCTTTCGTGCTGGCGAGACCCTCGATTGCCACGGCACAATGCATCTCATGTCATGTTACACGCCAGGGCAGTGTGTGTGTGTGTGTATGCTGTCATCGATCATGAGCACAGGGGGTCGCTCCTTTCAACTGTTTGGCACAGGAGAAAGGGGGCGCCGTCCAACCAAGAATTCCAGGAGTTCACTTTGGTTCCCCCTCCATCTCATTGTCGTGATGCACAATTCTTTTGTGTCTGGTGCAGCCAGAGGCAAAATCTTCACCCCTTACGGATGACCCGATCTTGCTGCTTGTGCCATTCTTTGTGCCTGGCATACCTGATACCAAAGTGTTCATCTCATCTTCTTTGCCATCATCATCCTCACCATCATCTCTTTGCCAGCCCACCCAACCCCAACCCCTACTGCCACCCCCACCCCACCCCACCCACCCAACCCCCTCCACCCCCATCCCCAACCCCAACCCCAACCCCCCCTACCCCCACCACCCTGCATATAGGAAATGGGGGCATGCATGCACGCTTGCCAAGAAATGAGGGCGTTACCGGTGTGGTACTGGGCAGTACGGGGTGGTTTTAACTTCCCGGGTGGCTCTAACTTGGCCCCCGAACAAAGAAGACAAATCTGGTTCTAACTTCGCGCTCGGAATTTCCGGCGGGGGACTGTCGGCCGAGGTTGTGGCTCTGGATGGTTCTATCTTGTCGTCCGGGAGTGTACACTCTTTGTCCTATGACCCTTTATGTGGGCCCGACATCGTCACTGTATTGTCCTGCTTCATGCCTACCCGAAGCGATGAACAAACAAGCCGCTTTTCAACCTTGGGTCACGGCATCCATAGGAATGAAGTAACGAAAGATTTTCAGAACGGACGCCAACTCGAAGCAGCTGTGCTCAAGTTGTGGATCTTTCGTATCTGCAGGCATGTCACTCGTCCTCGCTCATCCCAAGATGGGTTGCGAGACATCGTTCTACTCTGACTCTGGAAAGGTGTCACCTGTCAGGACACCAGCAAATTGGTGTGGACAGCTCGCCTTTCAAGCTTAAAACTTATCCGTGCTCGCTACAACAAGTCCCAGACTGTCCGGCAACTTCGCTGATCAGAAGGTCCTACTCTGTCACGGTGGCAATCAGCCATCTGGACAATCAATTCATCCGAGAAACCATTTGGACCACAGTGCTCTCGGGCGCTTCCTCAATCGCTGGCATCCCCAAATGCTGCGGATAGAGCGCCCCAGGAAGGGCCAGAATGCTCTCCTAAGCGCATGAGGCACAAAAAAATTGACTTCAATCTCTAGAATCCAAAACTCATCAACACAAAATCATGGCAAGCTGCCGATTCCGCCAGCTTGGGCTGGCCTGCGCCGTCATCAGGCCTGCTGGGAATCGCGCAAGAGCAACTCAGAGTCACTTCTTGCTACGAGGAAAAACCTGACCAGACGACCACGGCTCATTCGCTGCCCTGTACTGCCGGCCTGGTGTCCCAATCTTCGGGATGCTTTCCTTCAGCATCTTCGGCTCTGGTCTGCGGCACTGGCTTCTGCTCCATGGACAACGCTTGACCTCGCAAGTAACGGCCCCAAGCAGTCCATCGAGGATGGAGTTGCACTTCATGACAAGACACGCATTCGCGAGCAATGCTGGCCAAATAGATCAAACAATATAACCTGGTACATACAGACCACGAAGGTGAAGCCGCAAACAGCCTGGGCCGTTCCCGAAGATCCGTGCGGCACCAAAGGAAACACGAGTCTACAACAGCGCGTGGGCATCTAAGCGAGGCGCTCCAAGCTTGATGAAGAGAAACATGCGCTCATCTTCCTCGCGTGGGGGTGCCCTCAGTGAAAAGCTCGCGGTTACTGCACAGCGCAAGTGTTGTCATCTTTCACTCTGAACCGTGGCAAAACCGATAAGGCTGCAGCTGCAAGAATGCTGGGACGTCGATGAAAAGAAACCAGATCATCAATGGGTAGATGGTAACGTCGAAAACTATACACGCACTGAGAAGAAGGCAATGTCTGCCTCAGGGTCGACGAGCAGTCTCAATGACCAACACAGCCAAACTTATTGACACAAAGCAACACAGCTCAGTCAAGCGACGGACTGTCCCAGGTTTAGCAAACAAGTTGTCCACATCTTCTTGCCGCACCATAGCTTTTTCAAAATCGAAGGATCATGCTTTTTTTGAGCCGGCGTGCCTGATCATGCGGTGGAGATGTTGAAAGAAGTGAACGCTGTTTAGCTGAGAATGCGACCGAGCTTTCCCGGTAAGGCTTCAATACTGCTTCAATGCAACAGCTACTGGCACTCAGGATCTGAACCGCAAGAAAAGCATGGCCATGCAAGAGCTGAGATGATCACGAAATGCCTTCAGCGAGGCCCTACCTGATCAGGACTGCTGATGGGGGGCAGTCCTACACTTCGCGGGACAAGTGCTCTGCCAGAAGCTAAAGGGACACTTTTCAAAGGTGAGGCCTGCCTGCTGCACTATTACCACTCGTGTCAAAGCTATCTTCCCACTTTTGCAATGTCAAACTGATCAGTTTAAATGAGCCTAGCGGGATTGAAACGATTGCATCTGCTAAATTCTTCTCCCGTACATGAAACAATGCTTTGATGGAGCTTCACAAAGTAGCCGGTGCTTGCGCCCCAATCTTATGATGAAGCCATACGGTGCCATTTTGCTCTGCACCTAAGCAGCGGACTGTGTCTGTTGCACCTGCTGGTTTGGAGTCGACCAAGCCTGAACAGATCTCTCTCCGCTCGGAGCTTACAAGTGCCGGCTTTGGGGGCCGGTTGAGCTCGGGACCATATTGCTCATCTGTGGCCTCAGCTTTCGGTGCAGCGAATGCTGAGAGCAAGACTGAACATTCTGCTGGGAGCTCTGCGCAAACGCTGCAGCTGTCACTGGCATCGGCCTTCTTCAGTGGCAGACATTCAGGGGCAGCGACATGCGAAGATGGTAGAGGCCATTTCCCAGGCAATAAAACCAAGGACGGCACGTCTGCGGTACCTCGAAACGAAAGCGGAAGCCATACAAAAGCGGTGCACACAAAGGTCCCGCAACTGCGACATATAAATGCTCGAGGTCGCAGCTCCCCATGGAGCCCATGCTGCATTGTAGAAAGGCTGTTGTACTGGAGGTGACCTTCTGGGTGGAGTTTTAACAGCCAAAAGCCCACTGCTCCTATGGTATACTCTGGAAGCCAGGTAAGCTTCGCACATACCATCGTGGCAAGGCCTATGTTTCTGAGCAACCATCACGAAAGAAAGCAGGCGAAGTGGCGGGAGGGAGCTGAGTTCAGTGCACACCAGGAACAGGTGAGACGGCCATTTGCATCTGCAGAGGCTGCCCTTGTTGACTAGACCTGGAAAGCAGCAAAGCGCAGCAAAGCGGGCTGGCCTTGCCCGATGTCTCTTCTATATCCTATACTTAAGTATCTCATGGCCAGGCGGCATAAAATTTGCAGGCCCATGTTGCGGCAGGGGCCTTGTCTTGCACTAATTAACGCGAGACCATCTGAGAAGCAGAGACAGGCACCGACTCTACGCTTCGCCCGCGAAAGCTGAGAGCCGCGTGCACCCCTCCAAGCCACCGGCATAACCATTCCAGTCGGAGCACGGACTCCAGGTGCAGCCTTTAGATCTGTCCGAATTTTCCGAGACTTTGCACATGTTCTCCATAATTAAAGATTATGGCTGTTCCTCAACAAGCGCCACTGGGAGCGTTGCAACTGGAACACCAGCAACGGCTGGCATCACTGGCTGAACTTGTGGAGGTGGCCTCACCATTCGCACACTCATGAATGACTAACTGGGCAAGCACGACCGCGTCAAATGGCTGCGAAAAAGCGCAGCGCTTCCTTCAAGCCTCTTGTGTCTTAGACCGCGAGTCCAGTATTGCGATACATCGAAAAATCCTGAAGTTTTAATCGGGAGTTCGTGCTGAGGATTTGGAGAACTGCTCCTTGAGCTCTCCGAGGCTGCTGCGTCATCGACTGTGGATGCTCGCCTCCCATGGTCGGCCATGGGGATGGTGATGGCGACGCTTGCGCCTACGACAGAAAACACTTCGCTGTCGTGGACCTCCCCATACTGTTGCAAGCCGAGAGGCAACCATCATTCCAGGTGATGGCATCATGATGCCCGGCCTATGTCATCTCTATCTAAATGTCTTTTTTCTACACACTCCACGTCCCACTTTCCCTGTTTCAATGTTGGGGTGGCCACATTGGCTGCGCAATGCTTGCAAAACTTTGCCCGGCAACTGATGTGGCGACGCTGCCTGGAAGCACCGTAGACATCAGCATGCTATTGCATCGTTTGACATGTCATCGTCAATGGGCACACCAATCCTCCACATCCATCAGGCCATGCCGCAGGCTGTGGACCATTGCAAGCTCCCTGGCAACGCAGTCAAGTGGAAGACACCCGCTGACACCCGCTTAACAAAACCTTCAACAGCAGAGTGAAGACAGTGTGTTAAGTCGCAGACACATCTCTGGGAGTTCTTGCCAGGCACAGGCATACCAGCAGATTCTGCCGTGTGCATTCCACGTCCTTCATTCATGCCACTGGACGCATGGCTGCGAAATCATGGTGCAAATTTTCCCCGTCCTTTTGAAGACTCTTCTGACCGCCTGCATGTATCAAAAGCGTTGTTGCCCATGCTGCTTCTCACTGCAACTGCCTTAATTTGGGCAACTCATTTCAGTTTCCAGTGTAAGAGGAGAGAACACTCGCATTGCTCTGCATGCAGCTCTTCATCTGTAAATCACTAGAACCGCACAAGACAAATGCAGGCGAACGCTTCTTCGAAAGACTCGACCACCACTACCACTGCCACGACGGTGGCGGTTGCTTGTGACGCTGCTGCTGCTGCTGTTCTTCCAAGGCGGCTGATGCCACTGCTGCTTCTGCTGTCTTCGCTTCTGCTGCGTATGTCGCCACCTTACCACTCTGGCGGCTGGTTCAACCCACTACCAATAGTCCTACTGCTTCTGTGGCTGGGGTCTTGGCGATGAGCGTTTACATTTCTGGCTCCTTACTTGCCTCTTCATTTGACTTACACGTAAATGTTATGTAGATTCATCATTGGCTCGTTGCTGTCATTCGCTTGATTCCTACTGCTGTATGGAACGGACGCTACAGCATCTTCTACCGGCACTAACGGCCGTTCATGGTAATCCTCTCCTGCCGTCGAGATTCGGAACCTTAGCAATCAGACATTTACTCCGACTTGAAGAACAGGCCGAGGATGTATTTTGTTCTTTACAGGATATACAAACACTTCAACTCCAAAAGGCACAGCAATTGAGAGCATTTCGGAGGCAGAAACGCGCTCACTGTATCTACAGCATCGAGAAGCACAGCAGCATGGCAACTTGCGGTGGGTATCACAAAAGCCACGCGCAGCATTCGCACACCAAGCAAGGCCACCAGAAACAACACAAATGCTGTGAATTGCACGGTGGCTTTTGCCAGCTGAAACCCCAAGTGACTTTGGCGAAGCGCGCGATCGAGGAGTGCATGCGTGTTGGCCAGAGAAGGACCCTGATTGGCACGGTCATTATTAATGCAGCACGGGCACCGCCCTAGCCCGCAAAACTGTTCGGTCCGCCCATCGTGCGAAGATGCTATGGTATACTCGTATACATCACGTAAATTTATGCTTTGGGTGTTGCTCATGTCGTTGTCTTGGTGCCATCCCTTTGACGGTCGAGATGTACCAAATAATACCAAAAGCCACGACGAAGCATCGCGTAAAGCAGCGACAATGACGAGGCTCGTGGCCAAGGCCAAGGCACGCCCAATCCCACTGACAGCTGGCTGTTTTCAAGTGGCACTTGCTTTCGCAAGTATTCTGTTGGACGTGGGCGAAGTCTTGTTTGCTGTGTGCGCCCCGACACGCGCAGTCATTCACTGACACACGCCTCGCTCGCAAATGCCGGTGGAAGATGCTCCGTGAGCGCAGACGGCACATAGCCAAAATCCAAGCGCGACGCCCCTGCAGTATCTATACACAGCCCTGCAAGTCAATTTTACAGGATACGTGGTCTCTGAAATGCCGTGGCAGGCCGAACACCGGAGCTCCGGAGCAGCATCATCTTGCCGTGTAAAATGGCATGCCGAAGGGGCTATGTCAGATGAGATGATGTGAAAAGCCAAACCATCCACATCATAGTGGTACTCGCTCAAGCGACAAGCTCCAGTAAAATACCCAACCTGGTTCGGCACCTTCGGCCCTGCATCACATGACACCATCGGTGATGACGCGTCTTCTCAAAAGCCACACAGCGTGGCAACTTGCTTGCACGGCATCCTAGTCAATAAAACATCAAATCCTTGAACACCTCGCATAATCTGTCATGAGCTGTGACACATCCTTGGCAAAATGGCCGGTCAGACAAGTCCTCCGCCAATCACAGGCCACTCATATGGTGTCAGTATAACTCCAGTATGACCACAGAATGCTCGAAGTTCAGGAATGCGTCTGCGATTTTAGATTTTAGATGGCTCTTTGGAAATCCACACCGCCCTTCTGTACAGAACAAGGGTTCGCCATTTCGCAAAGGAATATTCAAATTCAGAACGGTCTTTGGCAAAACTCTCCCTCCCACGTAGCAAAACGAAATGCAAAAGACGGCTGACACAGCAACAAAATCTGCACTGTTCCAAAGGACGGGCAAGCACAAGCCTGAGCCGCAAGGAGCAGAAGGCCCTAATGGCAACGGCAGCTTCACACACACCCACACATATCATCCAGCGTGTCATCCTGACTGTTGCAGCCTCTTCAAGCTGGCTGGCTCCCAAGCTTGGCCAACGGTTTTAGTCAAAGATTTCTAGTCATATATCTGCACAAGGAATGGTGGGAAGCCAAACGCATTCGCTCTCAGTGGTAAAGTCTCCCTTTGAGCCGCCTCGGTTCTTCTCTTTCTAGACGTTAACTCAAGCATTATTTTGACCCGTCATGCTGTCAGTCGAGTCTTTCATGAAAAAACGTGATTAAGGCCCGAGGTTGTCTTTGTCTCTTAGACTTCGGGGTTTAGGATTTCGACTCGCACACTCGCACGGCACAGGCACGGATTCTGATTTAGGGTATGGCAAAAACCTCAAGAACCCATGGTGTTATCCAAAGATTTGCCGTGTAAAACTACTTCAAAACCCAAGCGACCCAGGAAAAGATGACCTAAGTGACCCTTCGGCCGTCACACATACTTCTTTCACCCTGGGTGGGTTTTATGGTGCCTTCAAACCCCGGACACTGACAGAAATGCCATTCGGAGCCTCAAACCATCGTCAGGCATGTCAGTGCCTGAATTTCTCGAAGGCAGTAGCCATGCAGCCAGCAGTGGCAGTCGCACCGAGGCTGCGGCTGCTAATCGCTCGCTTGACTTCAAGCTTGCGACCATCCCTCACAGGAATGAACCTGGAGACCTCTGAACCTGGCACAGCTTTTGTGTGACGTGCAAAGACGAAACGCTTGGTGTCCGAGGTCGGTGCCGAGAAAGCGATCTACGGCAGTAGCTTCTTGGAAAATCACAAAGCCGAAACCTGGGTAGAATGACTTGCAATCCTGCGGCTTTCGATTTGCAGGAAAGTCTGTCACTCGCGTGAGGGGACCGTTTTGCGAGTGCCGCACCGCGGTGGTTGTGCGAAGTTGGAGATTTCACCTTCGTGGCGTCTCTGTATCGCCTCATTTTCAAGTTTGGTAAATTGAACTCACACGACCCATTGAGCTCAACCGAGCTTGTGGCTGAACCCAAGCCTTCTTCACTGGAGCCTTGGGGTTCCAAAAATTCAAGAATGGCAACTGAGACATACCTTCAGTGAGGTCGCCACTATCTCACTGAACAGCTTGAGCAAATCCTCCTGTTGCATGTCCTGCTGCATTGATTCTTGATGGCCCACGGTTAAAGGTTGATTCTACAGCACACTCGCAAGCGCTCCTGGGGAATGCCGCCTACGAAAACTTTCCGAACTTGTGTTGGGAAGGCCTTCAGCAAGAAAAATGCTCTCACCTATGTCAGCTACACCTCATGTCAATCACGTCAAGCGAAATCCTCCCGCACAGCTGCACAGCGGCTCCCGCAGCGGAACCATGATCGAAAAACGCACGACATCACAGAAGCCGGCATAAGGACATGCAAAGTGAACATTGAGCTTACCCACCTTGGAATCTCGCGCGAAGCCCTCGCTGCTGTTTTGCAGCGTTCGAGCCTTACTTGGAGCCTTGGCCCATTTACAAGTTGCCAGCAGAGTCGCAACAGCATCCTCCTCGCCCTTACCGTGAACTTCAAGGATGCTGCATTTCGCCGGGTGCCAACTGCCACGGCTGGAGCGAAGTTCGGGCTCGTCCGGCCGTCGGGGCCTAATTGGGTGTTGCTCTCGGGACGAAAACGAAGCATCATGATTCAAGCAGCAGGCTTGGAGTTGGCCCAGCACCTGGGGATTCTTCCGGCGAACTGAGAGCACGAGAAACAAGAAGCTCGTCTTGAGAGAGTTGAGAAGTTGAGATCACAGCTTGTGCTGATTGAGCTTAATGGACGATTGTGATCAGCGTGGGCTTCACCTCGCTGACAGCACGTACTGGCGACACATCATGAAGGGGAGAAGCAGGCTGCAGGTGCCAGGCCGGAAAAGAACAGAAACCATCCGAAAACATGTGCTTCAGCACCACACCAGAGTCACTAGGGCCTTGAAGGATTAGATTGTGAGGAGTGGCTCCAGACTAACACAGGGAACCTTGGCGTCTGGGTAACGAGCAGCCTGTTTCAGCATCAGCCTCCTACTGGAGTCCACAATCGAGACTGTCTGTGTTGATCCGAGGCCACTGCCGGACGAAGACTGCCTCAGGAACGCAAGAGCTGCAACGGTAGCGAGAAATTGCTTGCAGCACATGCACAGGTGGCCAAGTTGCAGGATGTCTTTCCCGTGGTCAAGTATGCGCCGGTGGGCCTGAATCTCGCAACAGCACTGGTGCTAATGCGATGCAAGCAGCAATGCAATCGTGGAGCCTCTCCACCACGAAGAACCTCTCTCAATTCCTGCAGTCGGGCAACATGGAAGTAACTCGACATACACCAATGGACGAACAGAGTCCTGGCTGCATTCCGGGTCATCTGGCAAGCTAAAGCCTAGCGATCAAATGCGGCAAATGGGAGATTGAGTCGGCTCGGCGGCCTCCAGGAGAACTAGGATATGCCCGGCATGGCTTTGGTGCTAACCTTGCAGGACAGCAGCACGTGCAAGGCCTTCACAGCCCCTCGGCAGGGGAAATCCGCTCCGTGCAGGTTCATCTAGTTGATATGCCGAAGGGCGTCGTAACTTCTGGTGTGGACACACCAGGCGTCGGAGCATTGGCGAGACCTGGCGAAAACGGAAGGCATCGGGATTTTACTGATAGAATATCTGAAAACCTGGTCTTCTCTGTGCAGTCAAAATGCCGTGACCGAGCGGTGTGGTTGGGGATTCCACCTGGAATCATGTGTTCTGCACTTGGCCATGTTCACGACCTAGCCGATCGCGCCTGCTTCTTGAGCGCTCGCTCTGTCACGGGGGTATGCATCATCGCATCCCCGGGTGCGGGCTCCACCTTACCGTCAAATTGCTGCCAATAGCTAGCAGCTAGGGGCACAAAACGCCCGGACCTGCGACGCCCTCTGCATGCTAAGCCTGCCCAGAAAGCTTTGATCTTCGAAGTTCTTTCCCGAAGTTTCTGGCAGAGTTCTGTCTTCTGCGACGTCCCGCCTCTGGGACGTCAGGGAAGTACTTTGCAAAGCCTGAATGCCGATGTCGGCAAGCGATGCTTTCAACCCTGCAACTACGCAAGCCGATTTGTCCGCGCCTGTCCCCCACCACTAGGTGATGGCGGGCAGCTAATTATTTTGAGCCGAAATGTAGTCACACAATCCTTTCAGCTGCGTCGCCATTCAGAAAAAATGTAGCCCAATCTGGCATGGAGTGTGATGTTGTCATAAAGTCGCAGGATCAGCACCGGTCTCGGAGAGCCGTTTCTTCCAAGGGAACAGAAATTTCAAATGTCAGCTTCAGGGGTATTGGGCTTGATGGATCGCAGTCGTCGGCACTGTGGATGAAGTTTTTTTTTTTTTCCCCCACAACCTT